CTATCTAACCTTTGGCTGAAGGCTGATCCTAGGGAGTGACTTCATTACTGAGCTAAAAGGGTGTCTGAGGGCCATACTCTAGGGGTTTCTCCAGTCTCTGTCAGGCCAGTAAGTCTGGTCTTTTTTTGTGAGTTAGAATTTTGTTCTACACATAACAGTTTAATTGAGATATAGTTTATATACCATACAGTTTACCCATTTAAAGTGTACAATTCATTGTTATTTAGTGTATTCACAGGGTTGTGCAACCATCACAACAATCTAATTTTAGAACATTGCCATCACCACAAAAAGAAACCTCACGCGCATTAGCAGTTATTATTCAGTTCACCCAACCCTACTCCTGGCCCTAGACAAACACTAATCTACTTTCTGCCCCTATAGCTTTGTATGTTACAGCCATTGCATATAAATAGAATCACACAATATGTGGTCTTTGGTGACTGGCTCTTTCAGAGTTTATCCAAATTGTAGCATATGTGTTTTATTCCTTTTTATTGTCAAATAATATTGCGTTGTGTGAATATACCACATTTTTTTCCCCATACATCAGTTGATAGAATTTTGGTTGTTTCCAGTTTTTAGCTGTTATAAGTAATGCTTCTATGAACGTTTGTTTTACAGGTTTTTATGTAGACATATGATTTCATTTGAGTATGTATACCTAGGAGTAAAATTGCTTGGTTATATGATAAGTGTATGTTCAATATTTTGAGAAAATGCCAGTTTTCCAAAGCAGCTGTGCTATTATCTTACATTTCCACCAGCAGTGTATGAGAATTGCAAATTTTCCACATTCTCACTAACACTTTTTATGGTCCATGTTTTTGTTTATAGCCATCCTAGTGTGTGTGAAGGCTATCCTAGTGTGTGTGAAATGGTATCTCATTGTGGTTTTGACTTGTGTTTTCCTGATGGCTAATGATGTTAGTCATCTTTTCATGTGATAATTGACCATTTGTATATTTCCTTGGGAGAAATATCTATTCAAATCTTTTTCCATATTTTAATTGGGCTTTTTATTTTTTTGTTACTGAATTGTAAGAATTCTTTATATATTCTAGCCACAGTTCCCTTATCAGAGATATGATTTGCAGATATTTTCTCCCATTTTGTGGGTTGTCCTTACTTTCTTGATGGTATCATTTGCAGCATTAAAAGTTTTTAATTTTGAAGAAGTCCAATTTATCTGTTTTTTACTTTGTCACTTAATGCTTTTAGTATCAAAGAAGGCTTTGCCTAACCTGATGTCACAGAGATTTACTCCTATGCAGTCTTCTAAGCATTTTGGCCCTTACATGTAGGTCTGTGATCCATTTGGAGTTAATTTTTTTTACATGGTCTAAAGGACGAGTCCAACTTTATTTTTTTCCATGTGGATATCCGGTTGTCCCAACACTGTTTGTTGAAAAGACTACCTACTCCTCTCTTACTGACAAGATATTGTGTTTTCACTAAAGGTTTACACAGCTGTTTAGGCTCTCATTCAGTAATTTCTCCTCACAATTTTCAGTGGTATTGGTTACGTTCTTCAAAAGGCATGAACATTCTCAGTGTTTCCGTTCTGATTGCTATGTTTCCATTAATCTAGTTTCCCTGTCCCCTTACATTCTCATCCTTGTTTTAAATTGTTTACTGTTTGGCATCATATAGATAATTTTTTAAAGGAATGCAGTACATATGGATGATATTCTTTATTTTATGAGCCAATCTGTTTTTTAGCTAAAAGGTGACTTCAGGGGCTTGTTTCAATTCAGGGTTTAAAGACTATCTTAGGCAGTAGTCTTGGGGAGTCTGCCAGTCTCAACTGGTCCAGTAAATCTGCTTTTTTTCTTAATAGAAATTTGTTATTCTGTTCCACATTTTTCTCCCATTCTGTCAGGGTCCATCTTATTGTGGCCTTGATCAGAACTGTCGGTAGTGGTAGCCGGGCACAATCTAGTTCCTGGTCACAGAGCAGAAGAGGCCATGGTTTGTGTAGACTTAATATTGTAGACTAGTTTCTTCTTTGAGTCTTTGGTTTCCTTCTTTCTCTTTTGCTCTGGGTGAGTAAAGACCAGTAGTTGTATCTTAGATGGCTGCTTGCAAGCTTTTAAGACCCCAGGCACTACTCAGCAAACTAGGATGTAGAACATGAGCTTTATGAACTATATAATGCCAGTTGACCAACATGTCCCACGAGGCTGTGGTCCTAATCCTTCAAACTTAGGAACCCAATCCTGTGAGGTGTTTGGTCATGTCTGAGAAGTATCTATAACTGTGCCCCCTATGTGTTTTATTATGTATATGAATATATGGGAATACAGTCACATAGATACATATACATATGCTTACACCTGTATATGCAGACATATATACTTAGGTATACATACCTATACACGTGTATGTCTACATATATACACTAAAAAATACCAAACCCCGTGGCCATCGAGTTGGTTCTGGCTAATAGCTACCCTATAAGACAGGGTAGAACTGCCCCATTGGGTTTCCAAGCCTGCTACATCTTTCTCCATGGAGCGGCTGGTGGGTTTGAACCGCGGACCTTTTGGACATATATGTACACGTATACCCACAAATACATTTTTGGTTATTGTTGCTGTTTTTTTCACAATTATATATGCCATAGCAATTACCAAAAGGTTTTTTTTGCTCATGTACGTTTTAGTGACATCGTTTATCTTCTTCCAGCTGTGCACACTTCTCCCTCATTCTGTGTTTCCTATCCCCCAAAGTAACAAGTACCTAGTATATAGAGTGTGAACCTCCCTCTCCTTCCCCATCCCTGGTAACCGCTAGTGAACATTGGTTTGGGTATATTTGTCTGTTTATGTCCTTTCATAAAAGAGA